GAGAGAGGGAGGTAGAGAGATAGAGAGGGGAGAGAGATATGAGAGCGAGAGAGCGAGAGGGGAGAGAGCGAGGGGAGAGAGAGAGCATCCCCCACACTGCCTGTGCGTCGTGAACATTTTGGAGTCTCTGGGCAAAACCGGAGAAAAGAATCCAAAAGAAGCGGCAAAAAGTCCGACCCTGGTGGTGACAGGCTGCAGAAGCAGGAGCTCAGATCGGTGTCATCACCATCACCACCGTCACCCGGGAGCAGGAGAAATGATGTCTGATTTTTTTGGCCAATGTGCCGGCATTTCCCCCCCACCCCACCCCCCCATCCGCGCACCCTGAGGATTGGTGAATAGACGGGGGAACTGCACTGCTGCTGCTGCTGCTACTGCTGCTGCTACTGCTGCTGCCGGTATGTGGATGAAGCAGAGGGAGAGCTGACATTAATATAAACTGTGTGTTTTTGCATCCATTGCTGCTCCTTCTCTCCGCCTCATAGTATCTCTCTGTCTCTCTGTCTCTCTCTCTCTCGCATCTATCGGATGCTGCGTGATGCTGATGCTGCGCGATGATGCATCAATGACCGGGAATTCGCATCACGCCAAGTCCTCCGAGGCGATGTAAATTCTCAACAGTGTTCCCCATTCTCCCCCCTCACCCCCCCGTGTGCTCACCCGCTGCGCGACAATGCCTTATTCTGACGCAAAGTGCGAGGATGCCTGTAGCTGCGACTGTGCCATTGCTGCGGCACACGCTCCTCAGCCCGAGTCCGACACAACTACAACCAGCTGAACTGGAGACAGCAAGCTGGGCGAGTGCCGTGCACCACCCAACATAAGCCATACAGGAGCCCGTGCATGTACATGTGGGAGACTGTCGCCCCCCCTGCAGGGAGGTTTCTGTTGCACCGTGGCAGTGTTGTTGGGGCTTCCCAAAAATAATAATAAAAAAAAAGACCCCTCTGCCACATCCCTAAAAATCTTCTGAGGAGGACTTGCTGTGAGCATTACAGGCTTCCCCGATGGTTCTTGGAGGGCAGTGTGGACGCACCGTGTGTGCGTGAACCTTTGCCAGGTTTGGACCAGCAGACGGAACAGACGGAGACTCTGTGTGTGACATGTTAAAGGCTGAACTGCTGCCCAGATCTCTGACCTGCCCCGTCTGAAACCCTCGCTCTGTTCTATGAACATCTCTGCTCTGGCACCAACGCTCCACGGGGGGGAAACGCTGGCGTGCGGCACCAAAAAATCTGCAGAGATCACGGTCGGTGACAAAAGGGTTCCCCACCCACCCCCACGCTCCGACGCTCCAAAATAAGAGTGAGAGGAAGACGGGGTGAAGATGCAGGTGTCCTTCGCCTGCACCGAGCACAACCTCAAGAGTCGCAGCGAGGACCGACTTTGTGGCCTTCGCGCCGTAATACCTCCTGGGGGCAGCAGCGGCGGAGTTGGTGGTGGTGGCGGTAGTGGCGGCGGCGGCGGTGGAGGAGGAGGCGGAGGAGGTGGTGGCGGCGGCGGAGGAGGCGGCGGGGGAGGCGGAGGTGGACAAGGGAATAATGGCAACTACATCTCCCAAGGCTCGGTCAAGGTCAGGGAGGGTCCGGGGTCCCGGCAGACCCAGGGTCACGCCCACATGAAGGAGGCCATTGGGCGCCACACCAACATGAAGTACAGGTGGGTGAGGGTCCAACCAGGGGCTGAGGAGCGGTGGGTTTTGGGATGTAGGGACATCTAGGGGTTAAAGTTCAGACTGCAGAAAGAGGAACATTTCGTCAAATCTGATTTTTTTTTTACTGACTCACACATGAAGCTACAATTAAAACTCATCACATTCACTAGTTATGGGTTGGCCAGTTGCATTATGGGTATGTCGTCGTCAGTCTTTCAGCAGCACCGCTAGCGGCTAGCCAATTATTTTACGCTTCACATGTCATTTGAATGCAGGTGTGACCTCGGTGTTACCTTAATGTCAGAATAATGTCAGCGTTTAATTCAAAGAAGCTCGAGGCTGAAACCGTGGCATGAATTAGGATGAAGAGTCCGTCTGATCTCTGCACCAACCATCAGGCCTTTCCTCTCTCTCTGTTAACTCTCTGCCTGTTGGGAAACACTGCGGTGCAGAATGTTGTCTTGTCTCCAGTACGGCAGAGTTCTGTCCTCACTACAGGCAGAAGGCATCTGGAGAAAATACATATATATTAAAGCATGTATAGGTGGTATGTACTGCAGCTGATCGCCTCATCTTCAACCTTCACCTAGACTTTAGGTTATCTTTGATAACATCTTTGATAGGTCATGACAAATTGAAGATTATTTTTCAGAGACTTTTTCTTTCTTTTTTTAACATATCCTTCATTTTAGTTTCATCTCTTCTTCTGTTTCCATTTGAGAATTGTTACTGTGTAAAATCCTGGAGGATTTCTTTGACTCCAGGTCACAATCTACGGTTTGTTCCAGTCTAAGGATCCTTTTTTTTTTTCAATGATGGAAAAAGAAAATTAATCAATTGTTTCCTTTGATTTTGAACTTTTTTTTTGTTGAATTTTTTTGGACTTATTTTACAGATATCATGATAAAACTTGTCCAAGCTGTCATAAAGACATCTCATGTTTTAGTCAAGACGATTACACCGTCTTAGAACTTTTTGAACTAGATTCTCATTTGTCTAAGACACAGTTTTTATATTAGAGCCAAGTTGGAGACCAATTTATCAAATCAAACACAGACTTTTGTTGCCATTAACTTAAAACTCACGTTGTTTAGTCTTCAGAATTATTTTTTTTTCTGTGTCAGTATTTGGGGAATTTAGGTAAAAGTTTGCGTGGATACTGTTGTTTTCACCCTGAACTCTACCACAAGAGGCGCTGTGTTCTTACTCTGCACATTTAATGGTTTTTTTAATCGGTGATTTTACGCTAAAAAAAGTCTTTCTGTCTCACCTAGCGCTACCTTGAAAGTCACGTGCTGGCCTTGTGAGCGTACAGCTGTAGAGCTGACTCAGAGGAACCTCTGATAACTCGGACCTTTCTGACCCGCGGAAACATTTCTCAGGCAGTCGATTATCTAGATAAACACGATCGGCCGCTGCCAACTCCATCGTCCTGCTCTCATCACGCTGCCTCCGTCGTCGTGATTTCTCTATTCTGTTTGTTGACATGCGAGGTGAATGAGAGGTTAGCTTGAATTATCACTGCCAACATGCTCCGTGTAATGCAGTCCTGCCTCCGTATCTTCCATTAGCACAGATGAAAGCACATCAGTCAGCAGCCGATTTTACCGACACCATAAAATAAAATAAAAATCCCTGACATTTACTCTTAAAATCGCTTACTCTGATGGACGTGAAAACGCTCAGATAATCCACAGAAAGCGGCCATAATGTTATCACGCCGTCACAGACCGTAAGCGTGTGCCGCGGGCTTATATGTTTAATGCAGATTCTGCCCCGGCCTTCTGCTCTTCATCCACAGATTAATAAAAAAAAAAAAAAAAGAACTGCCTCCTAATGCAGCCCGGCTGAAATCACCCTCAGGACACACAGCTCTCAGGAGCCTTTCATTTCCACCAAATGATATTGCAGTGTAGCATTGTATGCAAAAAAAAAATAAAAAAAAATAAAAATAAAAATAATAAAACGCTGCAAACACCAGGCCGGAGTCACAGTGTAGAAAAAAAAGTGTTTTAACAAACGTGTGTTTGTATAGTTGTGGGAACTGTTGGACGTCTTTATAAACATGCATGTAAACACAGGGCACGCATCCAACGTCAAATGATCAATAATCCATACGGCTGTGACCCACAAACCATCTGTTTCCTTTACTTAGACAGTGGAGCTCGATAACCCAGAGTCCAGTTTTAATGACCTGTTTTCCTGCTAATCAGGTTGATTGAATTGCTGTCGTTTTCCTCAGTCAATTTAGTTTCCATTTAATGGGTTGTTTGAAGAAAAAAAAAAAGGGAACATTGCACAAGATGGAACCCAGATATCTCCCTTTACGCCGCTCGCTTCCCTGGGAATTGCTCACAAACCTCTGATTGGATTGGATTATTCCAGCAGCTTTTTTTTCCTGCTGCTCTCCCTAAAAAGTGTCACTAATGGCCAGTGCAGCAGCGGCAAAACAAGTCTGTACAGCATATGGCCTGCACCGGTTGCCAGGGGCAACACCGGAGGCATAGTTTTTGTCTGTCTCGTTTGTTAATCAGCCAGCGCTGCTGTGGCTTATCTGTCCCTTTGACAACAGGCTCGGAGACTCGACCGCTTCATCACCGGGCTGCACCACGTCTCAGTGGTCACGTGGTTCTCTGCTGTACCTGCTGTGAACGCCCTCGAACCCAACGCTAAACTGTAACTTGACCAGACAACAGTTTAGTTCAGGTTTAAAAACATTACTATTCACTGGTTTCTCTGGGAATCAAACCCAGCACTCGCTTAGCACCCAGGCGTGCTAACCGCTATTATGGAACCATTCAAACTTAACTTAACTTGCAAACCTGCAGCCGCAGACGGACCTGCAGACACAGACAAACCTGCAGTCGCAGATGGACCTGCAGACAGAGTTACAGTCACAGACAGACTTGCAGACACAGACAGACCTGCAGCTGCAGAGAACAGAATCCCTGACTCAGTAAAACAGGTGAAAATCCTTCTCATAAAAGTCTGGTCAACAGTAAAATCCACAGAGGTTGCAAGAAGAAAAAAAAAAACATGCACTGGTGGAATCTTTTTTTTTCTGCAGACTCCATCGACATGAGAATTAAAAGCTGGACTTGCGGTGAGCGATGATGCCAAAGTGTTGGTAACAGTCCACGACTTTGACAGAGTGGTCGTCGATGACGCAGGTTTTTCACGATGGTTCGATGATAATGAGAAAATGACAGAGAAAATGACCAGTCGATAAAGTCGTCCTCGGTCACGGCAGACATTATCACTGAGTCATCAGCTGACTTTACAACACGACACCCAGGTGTGTAGGAAGATGACCAACGCCTAACTGTCTGTGATTCAGTAGTCGTAGCTCGTGGTCAGCGTCAGTGACGGTGGACATGACAGGACGACGTACATGATTGACAGACGGATTGTCCATTAGGAGTAAAAACAGCACTGCCGAGGCTACAGCAGGACGGACGCAGGTCCAATTCCCTAAATAGGATCTCTGGACAGACCGTGTTAAATCATAGAACTAATGAACCAACAGACAGACCCTCACCCACCAACGGAACCTTAGGAACAATAAGTGCATACAGTGATGGTATAAGTGCATGTAAGTCCCATTAGTGCTCCACAGGAGAGAGTCTTTGTTTACTCCATTAATTCTCCACCTGACATGGAGGCCATTAAAAGTTAGCAGAAGATAATTATTTCTTCTGTGTCCAGACCAGCTGTCTGCTGTTGGAACTAATGAC